TGACATAAGCTCGGGTAATACTTTTAAAAGAAAACATGATTGTCTTCTTGGACAGACAGTTATCAAATTTAGAATCTCAGGCTGTCAGGGGAAGTGTAGCTACAAGTCTTATATCATTACTTTGCCAATTTTTCTACAGAAATATCCTTTATACCCCCAAAGAAGTAGGCACAAGTGATCTATGAGGAGAAAATAACTTTGAACTCTTTGATTTTTATCTTAAAAATTCATTTAAAGTCTTCATTATGTTCCACAATGTGATTAATAAAAATATTTTTTAATTACTCAACATCAGGAAAAATATGATGCTCTGTAAAGATGTTTGGTGGTTTCCTAAATCCCTTCTTGTTTGAAAAGTACAGAGGTATGTACAAAAATGTTATACTTTTACACATCTAGCCTTTTTTCCTTCTCTCTCCACCTATATTTACCTTTCCCTAAGAATACTGTATAGCCAAGAAGGATGGTCTTTTTTATTTTAAGACTATAAGACATTTCCCTTTTTTATGGTAAGACAAAAGGTAATGACATTCTAGACTTATAATGCAGCTACCATGTGGCAGCATAGAGGGAAGGGCTTAACATTTGTTATTCAATGTAGTTCTCACAAAAGCTCTCAAGGGTAGAAAATATCCCCACTCTCCAGATGAGGCAAGCTGATCTCAGAGAGCCTAATTACTGGGCCCAAGGTTCAGTGGTGGAGGCAAGATATTAACCCAGGTCTGGCTGGCTCAAAAGCCCTGCTGAGTTTACATTCTCTCCCAAACAGGGAAAACTGGTCTGTGACTTTTACATTTCATCCTGGTTCCACAATTACTGAGGGACTTGCTTAAATTAGCCAGACCCCTTAAGGGATCTAAAGTATCCTCAAGTATGAGAGACAGAGAAACAGAGAAAGAAAGACAGAGAAAGAGAGGGAGACAGAGAGAGATCAGGGGAGAGAGAGAGAGAGAGACTGAGATTACAGCTGGGTGCCAAGGGTTTCTGAACCCAACTTACTCATGGTTGAGCTGGCGTTTGTAAGCCTATAGCTTCTAGTAAACCACTTTCATTTAATTAATTGTGAAACCATTGGAGAATAGCAAGTCATGTTCTTGTTTGGAAAACTTCCATGCTATGTGGCAGGGCTTTTGCTTCAGACTTCATAAAACTGAATGCCCAGCACTGGGATAATAAGTGAGCACATAACACAGGGGAGGTGGTAAAAAACACAATGTTGCATTCAAATTCTGCACTTACTTATTCTCAGAGCAAGCCTCTGCCGTGATTGCAGTTAGAATTTTATGTAGGGAGATGTTAGAAACTCCTGAGGTTTTTCTTTTAATTTTTTTTATTGTGTCCTGTTATAGCCATACAAAATACATGTAACATGCAAGTTACTTATACAGCATAATAATAAAACAAACACTCATGAGCCCTGATTAAGGAATGAGAACATTAACACTATTATTTGTTCACTAGTTTAACTAACCCCAGGACCTAGAATGGTGCCAGATGTGTAGCAGGTGCTTAATAAATATTTTTAAATTAATGCATAAATCAGTTTGTATCTTCCTTCCTTATATCATTACCCCACAGCCTCCTCTCAGGGATAACCACTGTCCTATATTTGGGGTTTATCACTCCCTGGCATTTTTATGTCTTTTCATATATATATTCCCAAATTACATATTGTTTACTTTTGCTTCTTTTCAAACTCTATGTAATGGAATCATATTGTATGTATGCTATTATGAATTGTCTTTTATGCAACGTTAGCTTGTGAGATTCGCCTATTTTTAGATATATTCTGTTCCTTGTCATTGCTGAATTGTACTTTATTGAATGAGTATGATATAATTTATTTATCCTTTCTCCTCTCAGTGGATGTTTATCATTTCTGCTTCTATAAACAAAGCTGGTATGTCCATTTCTGCATATGCTTCCTGGTACAAATGTGCACAAGTTTCTCTAGAATACAAACCTGGGAGAGGGACTGCAGTTGTAATTCTCATTTCCAGTGCTAGAAGATCAATCAGTCCATGAGTCACTGCAATGTGCCCTTTGTTCACACTAGGCCAGGGTCAGTGGGAATCCTGTCCAAATCATTTTGCCAGAGAGAGGAGGGAGGAGGTAGGCAGAGACTGGCCTGGTAAGGTCAGGAAATATCTCAGGCCTCTAGCCAAAGTGGGTTGTAATTAGGAAAAATTCAAATTCTAAAGTTGCCTTCATTATTTCTCCTACTCTTCCACCTCCTTTATAGCTATTTTTGTGTGAGGTGTATTTTATTAAATTCATATCTAATAAATAAAATGATGACTTTCTTCAGTCTTTAAGTATTGATTATAAATTTGATTAATTAGATTCTTTTAAATAATTTGTGTTGTATTTTAAATTTTAGTATGGATGAAAATTTCTATTTTTAAAGGATCTTTCCAAAAAGACCACTTATTTACTTTATGCAGGTTCTCATTTTGTTTATCTAATATTTACTCTTCAATCATATAATAATAATTACTGTCATTACCATCATCATTTCATTCATATATACACATATATACCTTTATACCTTTCAAAATGCATTTCTGTCTTTGAGGTACTTTCTCATTTGTAGCAATATGCACTCTACTTTATTATATCATCTACTATGTTATTTTACAGTTCTTTGCTTCCTGTCTTTCTTCTCTACTAAATAGCAAGTTGCTTAGAGGCAAGGATAATATCTTGATCATCACTATATCCCCAGCACTTATCCCTGTACCTGGTCCATAGGGCCAGGTGCTAGGAGTTGAGTTGAATCAACTTATCTAATCTAGACCTTCAGTCTCATAATATGGTTAGCCATTGGTAACAAATCCACACTTTGTAGTCAGACTTACCTTAGATGGTAACCTGGCATTTCCACTTACTATAGGAGTGATCTTGAACAAGTTTACTTAATTTTCCTGAGCATCAGCTTCCTCTCCTACAATATAGGGATGACACAGAACTACCTGGCAGGGTTGTTATAAAGATTAAATGAGATGATATATATGAAATAGCTTGGCACATAAAGTGCCTTAATACATGTCCTTTAGATTTTAACTGTATTAGTTACAGAAGTCATAAAATGTAAGAAGAAGATTAAGACACTTTAAAACAAACAAAGAAACAATAGCAAAAAGCCTCTGCGTCTTCTCTTTGTTTCATGAATGAGGATGGGGGCACAATTTTTACCCAAGGAAATGACATTTTTAGCCAAAGGAATGACATTCTTAGCTTTTCTCCCATTTGTTTATGGAAAGTGAGCTCTTTTCCTGTGGAACCTGTGGCCCTCCTAGTCTTGGTCTGGTGGACAGACTCCTGCTGGCTTTCCAGTTAAGGTAGGAAAGGGAAGGATTATGGGGAGAAGAGATAGGCCGCCATAATCAGCTGCTGGGTTTGCATATGAGCAGAACTTTCTGAGTGCTTTCTGTTGTACTTGGGATGTGAATAAAAGCTAATATTTGTGTCTTAGAGATAAAGTGCTTGTCAAGTGTAGCCTGAGTGAAAGCCTTCTTTGCTCTTGCCCTGCCAGGGATGCTCACTGAGCATTGAGAGGAGGATAACCTTTCATTCTCTTTTGGGATTCTGATGACTGTGCTAAGTATAACCAAAGAGTCATGGGTAGAAAGTGAAGGTGAGTACTGAGAAGACAATAGGATAATGGAAATTGTGTTAGATTTGGAGTTAGAGAGTCCTGGGCTTAGGTCAAATAGTTTTGAGCTTTTCTTCTCTGAGTCTGACTTTCTTCATCTGATATAATAATGAGAAAAAAATGTCTCACAGAATTGTTTTGAGGAGTTGAAATCACCCAACACAGTGAACAGGCTTATTTTCCTTCCTTTCTTTGCTTAGTAAGAAAGAAGTATTCATAAAAATGGTGGCTGCATTCCTGTGGATGAGAGAATATGCAGTTGTCACCTATCTGTGGCAGATTTACCCAAGAAGTTAATTACATTTTGTTTAATGATTAGACATAGGACATAGAAGAGGTAAAAATTGACCTTTGGGTAGTACGAACCATGTTCCATTTGTTTAAACTTGAATTAATTACCATGGGAGACTAAGAGCTACCTTTCCATTAAGGTTTTAGGATTGGCTTTCTGGCCCTCTCCTTCAGTCCACTTGGAAGGACACAGACACAGATCCTCTTGGAGATAGGCAGTTAAACTAGGTGACATGTGAAGCTCCATCCTAGCCCAAGGAACCTGAGTATTCTAATGGCTAAGTGTTGAGATGGTTGCCTGAAAGGTTTCCAGCATCATTGTGCATCATTTCACAATAAAATCTGGCATAGGGATTCTGCTACTTTATGTTACAGAATGTGGGTGGGGGATTTACATGTGATTTAGATAGACTCCTAAAGAAAGTGAGGGAATGGAAAAAAGACCAAAGAAGACTGGTATGATAATACTAATCATGATCCCTCACTTCTGTATTCATTTCAAGCGCTTTTTATACTTTTGTTTAATTCATACCTCCACTCACACAAGTAGCTCGGTAAGATGGGTGATAATTATTCCTACTTACAGATGAGAGTGAGGCTCAGAGAACTAGAGCAAAGCACATCAAAGTGCTTTGATGCTTAGTCTGGTTTTTCCATAGGTCTCCCTTTGGATAAGGTAAGGTCTTAGGGCTGAGTACATACCCTTTAGTTACTCTGAAATTGTTTCCTGACCACCAACTTAAGTTAAAGACCTTAACCTCAGGTTTCTGCCTTCATCCTTCCCTCATGTAGACATAGCCCATGAGATTGGCTGATTCCAGAGAACTTCTCACATCCTTTCACAGGATTCAAAAGGGCTCTGTCCACATGACAGGAAACCCTACATACATAATCCCTAGGAGAAGTCCAAGGAAAATTCAGCTTCGCCCTGACTCAGTTAAGCAATAAATAATATTTTACATGTGCACTTTACTGCTGAAGACTTCAGACTTCTACCCTCCTGTTTCTGTCAAGTACTGACATGTGTTGCATTGTTCCTCTTGGGTCTTTTCAGTTTGGAGACTACCAAGGACCATGTTCTGCCCATCGACTATTACTTTCCACCCCAGAAGACCTGCCTAATTTGTGGGGATGAAGCTTCTGGCTGTCACTATGGAGCTCTCACTTGTGGAAGCTGCAAAGTCTTCTTTAAAAGAGCCGCTGAAGGTAAAGGGTCTTGGACACTAACTTCTGTTTCCCTTTCTGCTTTATCTTCTAAAAAGAGACACCAGTCTATCAGGACCCAGGATTTTATCATCTCTGAGACAAGGTAACTGGCAGGGCTGGTTCAAAGAACCTAAGAGCCTTAAAAAAAAGTCAGTTTTCATACTTGCCGGTCCCCTGGCTTTGGCAGCCTTGGCAGTATAGGCAATGTAGGCAATGAAGGTGGTCCCAGCTGGTGCTTGGAGCTTGGTGGGTCCTAGGAATGAAAGAAAAATTAATGATTTGAAAAGATTTAATTTCCTCCTTGCTTGTGTTCCATTCTCCTGCCTAGTGAGGGAAAAAATTGTCCTTATTAGAGAGGTTAGAAGTGGAGAAACCCCAACCGAATCCCCAGCCTGTTCTCTGTGGTGAATACGAAACTGTTCCTTCGTGAAGGCTTTCTGGCCTCGGCCCCAGAAAGGAAGTGTTCTCACTGTTCAGCAGACCATCAGTCTATGCACCTGCTCCCTCCTGCTGCTGCATCCTTGGGGCCTCTTTGCATTAATAGCTCCTAGGTAGATAAGGACCCAAAGTGATGAAACATTTTTATTCTCTCCAGAGAGTTGTCCTCAGTCCCTGTCCATTGGTCCAGAACCATAAGCTAAGTTGCATCTTATATTTGGCTAAGTGGGCTCAAACCCTGGCTCCTTAATATTATTTAACTTAAAACAATTAATGTCTGCTTAGCCCCCAGAGGTGCTCAGGCTGCATCTTACAGGAGGAACTCACACTTCCATACCTCCTATATATACTAGTGCCTCCTTCCTTCCCAATATCCCTGGGCTTAAGCCTCCTACCCATCCACTTCATTCCACATCCTGTACTAAGGGCTTTCTTCTCAAAGGGACACTGATGAACAGTTTCTAGACAGAGATACTCTGCTCTGGGAGCAGACCCAGTTGCTAAACACCACTATTTACTTCTGCCTCCATTTTCCACAAAGGAAGTACATCCTGCCAAGACCTTTTTCTTCCTTCTCACTGGCCTAGAAGTTTTGAGTTCCAATTCAGAATCAAAACAGACAGCTTTTCCTTATATAAAGGCTACAATCCCTGAGGACAGTCTTGAAAGTGGCAGGTATATAGGCCATACCTTTCAGCAGGAATATGATGACACCCACCAGAGGACAGCAGAAGCACCATAGAGTTCTTGGCATCTAGAGAAAAGGTAGAAAGTGTGTGCCCTTTAACTGGCCTCCCTATTGATAGCCAATTGGAATGATGATTACCTTTTCACCATTTTAGCCAGATGGCAGGAATACCTATAAAATGGAAAGCTATTTTGTTTTCTTCCAGTCCCCCAGGCAACAAGGAGACAGCTAGCATTTAGTATTAATGAAAATATGCTGCATGTTCCACCCATAGCCTTGAGTGGCGCATTACTACTGCTTACACTGGACAGTATGAAGTCCAGGGCACCAGTGCCTAGGCGTAGGCAGTTTGGAAAGAGACAGAGAGCAGTGTCTTCCTTTCTTAAGAGTACTCACAAAAGAATGGCTGTCAGAAAAGGAAATGAGGAGTAGCTCCAAACACTTCAGATCACCCCACCTTCTCCAGTGAGAACCTGTCTCTTCCCCATACCCTGTCATCAGGTAGGCCCTATCTATAGAGCAGAGAATGAATCATAGCACCCATCTAGAGCTAATGTGTCAGTAAGCCCAGGCACCACAGTAATAGCAGCCATATTATATGGGAAAAGAGTTCAAGAAAGCAAGCAAAAAGCAAATTCAATAGTCAGATAGATTAGATTGTATTTGATGCTGCCTTTGGGTTTTACAAATCTGGGTCGTGATATTGTTGCTTTTCGAAAACAGTGGGAATGATCAACCATATTGTGAAAGGGAAGATTTTTCTGTCATAACTATTCCACATGGGAGCTTTCTGAGGAAGTTAGGGCTGAAGGAGGGAGGCAGGCAGAAGGGCAGCTGGCAGGGCTGCCTGGGAGGAGCTCTGCTATTATGTGGATCTTGGACTATTTGAGAACAAGGAAGCTGGGGGGAGGGGTAATCACTCATATTACTGAGCACTTGGAAATCCAGCAAGGTCTCAAAATTCTTCAGTCCCTAGAATCACTTGTTAGGGAAACTTGGTGATATTTTATTTGAGAAAATGAGACTCTATGAACTCACGGAGCCAAATGCTCTTAACTGCTTGAAATATTAAAATCTCCAGTGGATTCATTGCAAAACTATGGAGCCCATTGGTTCCTTTGGAATGTGAACCACAGGTTCCAGTCCTGAGCCCTTTGAGGGACAGGAGAATGTGGTTTAAGAAAAAACATGAAACAAAGCAAAAAACAATTATTGGTGTGTTCTTTCACCTCCCATCTGTAAAGCTTGGTAGCTGGAGTTTACTGCCATTATTATCTCTATTTGAAGGCAAGGGGCTGTCTTATTACCTACAGAGAACATTTATTGATTTTTTTTTTTTTACAATGCGTCTTTATTGCCCAAATGGCCTTTCTGAAGGTGATTGTGAATCTTCCTTGTTGAAACTTGGAATTCCACCTGTCTTGGAGGGAGTGGGAGCACAAATCTTTTCTTCCTCATTTGTCTGTCGTTGTCAGTAAGCTCAGATGGAGTATTCAGAGTGTTGATTACCACTTTATTCATGGTTTCAGAAATCTCTGGACTGGGCACAGGTACAAGACTTAAAAGCCTGGCATGTCAGACAGAAATCCATTTCTAGCTTTGGTAGTTCATAAACCATGAAGCTTTAATGCTGTCATTGGTGCAAGGCTCAGCACAGAGTCGATTGTAATCTAGCCAGGTTTTCCTGTTGAGGAGGAAGAAGAGAAGAGAGCCCCACATTTTCTCGTTGTCAGTAATGCTGGGAGTTCGGGGTGATGGTGAGGCTAGTCAGGGAAGGATCTGAATATTTTGAGATTAAAAAATAATGGTAATAGGTCAAGGGGGTAAAAACCACTAAAATCTGCTTGATGGAAACTTAGTGAAATAATGTGTTTGTGTATGTGTGTGTGTGTAAGCGCATTTGAGTGGATGGTCTGTGGGTTTGAAACAGGCATGTAGAGAATCAGTTAGTGGTGGGTGGGTGAGATGAGTGGGGAGGTAAAAGGGGAAGGCATGTTAGATGCTATCAAAAAGACCAGGAAGTCAAAGGAAGGTGATATCCATGAGCAGGGTAGGGGCTCAGAGGGGGTTTAGTTGTGTGACATTGGATAAGAATTTTTCCCCCTTTGGACCTCAGTTTTCCCTGTCTGTAAAATAAGGGAGTTAAACTAGATACTTTTAAAATGCCTTTTCAGCTTAGACTTTTTGTGACAATTCTGCAAGTTCCAAACATCATCATTGTTATTTCAGCAAACACACATGCATTTATACCTGTATGCATGTTTGGTGTTGCCTTCCTAGAAGATGGTGAATCCTAGCTCCCATTCTCTTAAAAAAATCAATCTTCAGAGGGGAATAGAGCCAGCTGAGAGAGTGCACTGTGGATGGGCTGGGTTAAAAGTCAGGACTGAGATTCCCTCTTCTCCCGGCATTATGACCATGGCTGGATAACTTCCTTTCTTTTCCACTTTCTCATCTGGAAAATCAGGATATGAATCCTCATCTCTACCTCATCATGTTTCAAAGAGGGTTAATTAATTCATCATGTGCATTATGTGCTCAAGAATTTACTATTTTTCAGACATTTTCTAGTAAAACATTGGAGATTGTACATCCATTTGTTTTCTACACATGAAGCACTGTTTGGTACACATCATAAAATTGAAACTGTAGTTTACATTCTGAACTCAAAGAATTACACCATCCTCACTGATGTTTACAATATGTCCCAATTTAGTATCCTTGGCAAATTTTATATAAGTATGGCTTTGATTCTTTCTCTAGCCCCAGGTTTTTGTGAGGAAAGAAATGTAAGTGAACCCTCATTGAACTCTTTCTGTCCTTTAAATCTACTCTTTCCCACCTCAACTCATGTGGAATTGAATGTTACTTCTTGTTTGGAGTCTTGCAGAGAGTTTTTGGTGCATATCAGTGTCCCCTTCACTCCCTGACTTTCAGAGGAACATTTCCCAGGGGCAAGTTAACTCTGCTAGGAGGATCTACTTGCAACTTCAACAGAGCCTTAATCAGGTATCTTTGGCCAAGAAGTTGACTGATCCTGATTGTACGAGTCCTAGAGATTTTTTCACAAAGCTCCTATTATCTTTTCTCTGTCTCTGGTTTTCTTAAATATCATAGCCAGACTTTAGATTAGGGGCCAGCAAACTTTTTTCTATAAAGGGCCAGATAGTAAATATTTTAGACTTTGTGGCCTATATGGTCTCTGACTGTACTATTCAACTCTGCCTTTGTAGCATGAAAGCAAACCTAGACAAAACTAATGGGTATGACTGTACTACAGTAAAACTTTATGGGCACTGAAATTTATATTTCATTTAATTTTCACATGCTTTTAAATACTATTTTTTTTATTTTTTCCAACCATTTAAAATGTAAAAATCATTCTCAGTTCTTGAGCCACACAAAGACAAGCAGCACATTGGATTTGGCTTGTGAATTGTAGTTTGTTGACTCTTGCTCCTGTGCTTACAAATCTGCATAGTAAATTTTGCTCTTTCTGGTCTCCTGGTATCTTAGCAACTCTCTAGATTATCTAATTTTAAACATTCTTCTGAGTTGGCCAGTCAAAGTTTGTTCCCCTTGCTTGCCTAGAATACCTGGTCTGGTGGCATCTAGGTCTTGAGCATTTTTCACTAAACAGGAGAAAAATAAACAAATCTAGGAATGCTACAAGAGGATACTTTTTTTCTGATGATCTTGTAGATCACTCACCCTTGCAATACCCAGAGGAGAAGTTGAAAATATTCTACACATTTTCTTTTTAGACTTTTGTACCATAACCATATGGATAACTATAAAATATATATGAATGAGTTTTGATGGACACCACATATACCCCAGATGGTATAGAGGAAGGGCTTTGGGGACTCTCTGG